TGGCCATAATTCATAAAAGCATAAAGAGTCTCTAAATCAAAGTAAAATATATCTGAGTGAATGAATGGAGATTTGTATTTAAGAAAGGTGAAATTTTCAAAGGTGCCATTTCCCATGACTTTATTGGTAGAAGCAATTAAGTTCTCACAAAAACACACTTCCATCTCAATATAATTCTGAGTAATTTTAAAATGTTTTATTAAAATGACTTTTATTTTATTTTATGTATATGCATGCTTTCCTTGCATATATATGTCTGTGCATTACATGTGTGTCTAGTAACCATTCAAGGAGAGAAAAGGACAAAATATCTCCTGAAGATAGAGTTACAGACAATTGTCAGCTGTTCTATAGACATTAGTACTCTGAAACATCAGATAAGTCAGAGATTTTAACTACTGTGGCAACTCTTTAGCCTTTAAGAAGGCTGTTCTTATAACCCTCGAACATGAATAAACAGTAAAATAACTTTTGAAAAAGATTGGAGATATGTTTATTCTTCCAATAATTAATAATTAGTATAAAAGCAAATTACAAGAACACGCTGTCTGTGCAAGGATTGAAACAGATCAGAAACTGCAGAAAACACTCCTGTAGTAAGTCAGGCAATTTGTCCAATAGATAACATGCTACTTGGAAACAATAATAAATAAATATTGCTTTCATTAAGTTCTTCCTTCTTTGACTATAAAAAATGTGATCATAGATTTCTGGTAAAAATTTAAAACAGACCTCTACCCATTTCTGTAAGACAAATTATTCTCTTGAGTACACTGAAAGTAGAAATGTTGGAAAAATAAACAATGAAGATTCTATATGATATCACAAATTATCTTCCGGTGCTTTAGGTAGCCAAATAATATATAAATAAAATATGTAAAGCACTAGGCATAAACATAAATAGACAGTTTTAAAAACACTGTAAAACAACAGATAAAATCAATGCACACAACAGGTAAGGAGCCCTGAACCACTGAGGGCAAGGATGGAGAGAATAAGAACATATTGTGTGGAAGGAAGTGAACTTGGTTGAGTCTAATGTATCTTCAGAGTAAAGACCTCCAGAAGGGAAGTTCTATTACCTGGAAGGTATGTTATTCCAAAAACATATGCATCAATGTTTATACCAGGACATATGTACATGATCTGTTACTACATAAATTGCAATATCCCCATATGCTGAGAATATAAATATCTAACAAAATGGATTTATATTTTAGTAAATATATCCCCAAAGTTGTGGAGGGGGAGAAGGAGAGAACTTAGACAACTGAAAAATAAATGACTGAGTTTAATGAATATAACACATAGCAAGGGAAGGCAGATTGTAAAAATTGGCATATTTTTACAATCCATAGAAAAAAAAGTATCCCCAAATCAAGACTGAAATCCCAGCATTTGGAATTGTACGGTCAGGTGACAGAATGATATAGGTAAGTAATGAGGTTCCTGTCTTAAAATCAGTGAAGAGGTCGGTACAGCTAATCATAGGGAAGGGATGGATGCCTTTCTAGTCGGTCCTGGTGACACTCCCTCTCTCCACCAGGGTGGTCTTTGCAACTGTGTGCATATAGTCACTGTGCCATCAAAGCACCTGAATCAAACATGCCTGGCTTTCAACTGACCTTTCTCAAGTTTAGTTGGAAAAGTGTTATACTCCTGAACTTCCCTTATCAGCATGAACAACATATTTAGGAAATAGAGTTAGCTGTCATCAGCTTGTGACAGTTAGTGTAACATTTGTAAACCTTTGAAGCTCAAATATACGAAAAGATATGATTTCTTCCATTCTGTTTTATTCTTTTTGTTCTCCAAATCTATCTCCAAGATACCAATATCAGGAGGATTCATCCCTGACAAGCAGTAGATTGATAATGAGTCTGAGAGGAGTCATGTGAGACAGGATTTCTTAAGCATGAAGAACACTTTCTTGATGGTCTTTCCAGGGGAAGATGCTAAGTCTCTAGGTAATAATAGATCAAATGCCTATTCCTAATTTGTAGATCATTCATGAGATGATTTTACTCTAAACGAAACTAGCTCATCTTGTGTTTTAAATTAGTAAGTGGAACTATAAGCCAGATAACGTTGTTAATTGGTGCCACGTGTTTTGAAGTAAACTAGAGTATAGATGTGATAAAGAGATTCATCAGCTATGGTCTTTGGTAAAGGCAGGTGTCAGGGAACACAGGGAATATGCGATCACAGTTTCCTTGAGAGAGTAAATCTTATAGATATAAGAAAGAAGTGCAGATGGACATTGAGCAGGGAATCTAACTTCTATCATATACTGAAGTTCATTCCACATTTAAAAAAAAAAAAAAAGGTAACACCAAGGTTCTATGCCTGCTGCCAGCCAGTTCAAGACCTTCAGGAGCAGATGATTAAACACTGCTTGTCAAGGATTTCCTCTCACACATTCCATGCTTTCTCAAAATATGTATTAGGTTTCGTAGAAGCCACCACATATCATTTTGTATCAACCCACAGCAGTTTTCTTATCTCTAAGTTTGGCTTTGCGTAAAACTACCATTGAGTGAGCAATTGGGTGTTTATGTCAGGACATCTCAGCACTCTGCCTTCTCCCTGTGTTTGATCTGTGGGATTCAGACCAAGCTCTGCAGTTATAATTTGAGATAGGCATATATTCTCATTTCCATATATTCTCCTGCCATCAACAGATCAATGGACTAACACACTCACACAGTGTTCATTGTTGATCTCAGGTTCTTTGTCATTGGAAATAAATTACAAGTATTTGCACAGATGAGGTTTTTATATCAACTGGTATAACAGAGCAGATTCACAAGAACTATGATGCAATGAAAACAACATTATTAGAAAAAATACTCATTTGAACATTCAGCCTCTGCACAGTGCCTTGGGAGGTGGTAAGATAGAATGTAGCACTTTGTTTCCCTTCTAGAGTCAGTCAGTTCACACTGTAGAAGGTATCTTGTTCTTCCAATGGCTTAGGTGCCTGTAGCCTTGATATCCAAAGACATTTCAGGATTAACCTGCAATCTTATTTTTCCCTATAGTTCTCCTTCATCCCAAAATGTTGATGTAGTGGAACACATCATTCTACAATTTGGCTTTTCTATAGCCAGAAAACAGTGGCTTCACTACCTGTGTTTTATGAGACTCATGGCTAGTTCAGCTAAAATACTTGCTCTCAAAAAAAAAAAAAATCTGAATGTATCCCAAGACTATTTCTGCATGAGAAAAGATGACAGAAATAGCATTGATTTGGTGATTGAGGATATGTGATGTTTGTCTCAGAGACAATCTGCTAAGCCAAGTTGTAGCAGCATGTATATTATATCAAATACGAATATTTGAAACACGTAAACTGATTTATTCTAACGCCTTGGTTTTGAAGCAAGCCCATCAACAGGTGATGATTCTGCTACTTTCAGGTAACTTTGTCTACTACCTGACAGTAACACACAGCTAGAACTCTGTAATGTCCAAGGGTGTAAGTACCATATGTTTTCTTACAGTTATTGGAATATATACATGGCTCTTAGTCATTCAAAACACATAGAAATTTTATTCTTTCTTAGAATCCTATCAGATTGTTATTATGATGAATCAGTAAAACATCTTACAGTCTCATGACCTCAAGTTAATATTTTCTAAAATGTTGTGTACCTTCGCACATATTTTTACATTTATTAGTCATTTTAGGAGCATGGCTATTTTATTACAACAGAGTAGACTGGAGTTGTTCATTAAAGCACACCTTTTCTGTTGTTCAACACCAGATATTGAGATATCTTTGACTCGAAACCATGAATTAAATCATATGCTTGTTTCTGACTGATGGAGTTTCATGAGTAATCCTCTTGCTTCTAAATAAACACCCAGCTCCATGGTCCACTGAGAAAGGATTGAAAGATGTGAAGAAGGAGGATAATGTCCTGACTACCTACCACCTATCCTACATTTTCTGTAATCAACCTGATGTTTAGCAAGATACTATGACATAAGGTTACAAACACATTTTGCAAATGAAGAAACAATCGTAACAAAAGGGATTTTTAGCACATCTGTCTGTGTGTGTGTGTGTGTGTGTGTGTGTGTATACTCATGACCTCCTTCTCCTTGTCAGAATCTTTGATTATGTCTCACTTGTTACCATTGCTCTACACTCGAGTAGGTAGGTAAAATCTATTTAGACTTCAGAGTTGAGCATATGCATTTCTATAAAGGCTTTAAAAATAGATATTGTGAATGTTGAAAACATTTGTGATTTCAGCATCATGTATGACTGTCACAATGTGAGTCACTTTCATAGACGGAAAAAATTGAGTAGCTTTAAAGATGAAATCACATTGATAAAATTGGATGGCAGGGTAGAAGAGAAGGTAGAAGCAAGAAATAAAGGCAGTTTAAAAAATGATAAAAGCTAGTTTCCACTTATGAGTATTTAGTCTATGACCCTAGAAAAGCTAAGTACCAACGTGAACCCTAAGAGAAACATATATAGATCCCCCCTGGGAAGGTAAAACAGACAAGATCTCCTGACAAAAATTGGGAAAATGGGGGTGAGGGAAGAAGGGAGGGCAGAAAAAAAGGAGGAAGGGAGAAGGGGAGGAGCAAGGAGAACTTGAGGGAACAGGATAGACAAGATAGGGAAAGGATAGAGACAGAGAGCAAGGAAAGAGATATTTTGATTGAGGGAATCATTATGAGGCTAGCAAGAAACCTGGCACTAGAGAAATTCTCAGGAATCCACAAGGATAGCCCCAGCTAAGACCCTAAGGTAGAGGAGGTGGTGCCTGAACTAGCCTTGCCCTATAGTAAGATTGATGGCTATCCTAAATGTCACCATAGAACCTTCATCCAGTACCTGATGGAAATAAAGGCAGAGACCTGCAGTGGAGCACTGGGCTGAGCTCTCAAAGTCCTGTTGAGGATGGGAGGAGTGAGAATATGAGCAAAGAGGTCAAGATCATGATGGGAATACCCACTGATACAGTTACTTGAGCTAATGGGAGCTCGCCAACTCTGGTCCAACAGTGAAGGAACCAGCATAAGCTCAAACTAAACCCTCTGAATGTGAGTGACAGTTGTATGGCTGAGGCACACTGTGGGACCACTAGCAATGGAGCAGTAGTGCTTGTACTGACTTTTTGGAACCCATTCTCTTTGTGTTTCTTGCTCAGCCTAGATATAGAAGGGAGGGTCTTGGTCTTCCTCAAAGAAACACACCTTACTGTCTCTGAGGAGTGCATGGGGATGAAGGGAAGAGGTGGAGAGAATGGGAAGAGGGGAGGGAGTGGGAACTGGGATTGGTATGTAAAATGAAAAACAGGTAGTTTGTTTTCTTTATTAAAAAATGATTTAAAAAAGGAAAAAAAAAAAGAAAGGCAGACAAAACAGTAGCCAGGGCAGCAGAATCAAGCGTGCTTTGTCCATAGTTTATGTGTCACAGTTAAATTCCTTCCCATCTGTGTCATCAGAGGAGGAAAGTGATGCGCTTCCCTTGCCAGAATAAATTACCTTGATTATTGATGGTGATGAATCTCAGGACTCACTCATGTAATACAAAGGATTTTATGGTCTCCAGCCAGTGATTCAGATCTAGAAGAGCACAGAGACCAAGGAGGTTAATTACAATATTCCACTAATTGTGTTTCCTTGTCCTGTACCACATAGAAACAATGGAAAGAATGTGCTCATAATTACGGCTTCAAAACTCTCCACTGAATCATCGGTGAAAGACACAATGCAGAAGGTCTCAGATAGAGAAAACATTACCTTATCATCTTTCAAAGAAAAAAAAGAAGAACCTCTGACAAAGACCAGAATGTTCCTGGACTCCAGATCTCAGTAGTACCTTTTGTACCTTACAGAATGCTGATATTCAGATACTTAAGCCATGCTAATAATGCCATTAGCACAATCACTTAGAGTGAAATCAAGTGTCTTTGTTCTCTTTCAGTCTGTACCTTGATCCACAAATCACTTATCCTATATTTATAATTATGATGTCATTCTACAGCAACAGAGTAAAGCTGCATTTAAGCAAGAACAGCTGGGAATGAAGGCCAGATTAGTACAAAGTACACAAATTCACGCATAAACCATTTAGGAAAAAAAAAGATGTTTTTATTTTTTATCAAGCTCTGTTTTATTCAGAGTCACTAAGCCTTAACAATTTCCTCCAATTAATGTGAATGTGTAAAATCCTACTAATGGAGCTAAAGCCACCTGAGTAGCAATTTTATCTTGTTGGAGATATCTGTTATAAACAAAAGGGAAAATGAAGCAGTCCACTTTAAGGATCCAATTATTTTCAGGGGCTTGTGTGAATGGGAGCCATTTTAACTTTATCCCAGTACTTACATAAACAGGTTTGGAGGCTTAAAGGCGCCGACTTACTGATGTCCTCGAGTGAAGTGTCTAAATGTGATTTCAAAAATAAGAGCGAATGTGTGATTAACTGCCTGCCGCTTATTCAGTCCTTTGCTTTATCCGACTTTGAAATCACCTAGCTTCGTTCTTTGAATCTGTGTTCCCTCTCCATAAATAGCTATCGGCAGCATTTTAAAGGATCTTTTAAACGGAATGTCTGACGATTTGGGTCCTTATCAATTGGTTGCTTACTCTGAACACATTCTATAGCTTGAGCTGCTGAACTAAGAACAGCCAACACTTCTGGGTGTCTAAAGTAGTACTGATCAAATCACATTTATACACCACATTCATTAATGAACTTTCCCTTCTCCTTGCTACTAATCTGGTTCAGGGCAGTGCATATTTCCGGGTTAGATGCATGATTCATTGGCAGGGAGACAGCGGAAGTCGTGGATCTTTAGGATCCCTTTCCACTTCAAGACAGAATGTGTGTGGCAGAGAAAGAGCAAAAATATTAAGGGGTTCTGTCTGCGGGCGCTTGATTGGGGGAGGGGGAGGGAAAGGGGAGGCGGCGGTGGGGAAGAGACAGAAATCTTTAATAAATAAATAAATTAATTAAGGGGTCAGGATGAGAGTATGGCCAGCACCCTCTGAGAAGAAGCCACTGAGAAGCTTGCCTGCAGTGCTTACCAGCTCTGCCCCTGGTGAGTCTCAGACATCTGAGATGTGTTTCTAAGCCACAGCATGGAAAGGTGTGTCTCTTTTGTTGTGTATGGTATCAGGGTCAGTAGGTTTATGCAGGTTCTAACTTTATGACAGTACTTCTGGTATAACAGCATTTAGGAAATGCTGACATTTTTGGATGGCTTTTGGGGCTCGGGAGATAGCTCTGTGGGAAAGTGTCTGCTGCACACACACGGGGACTGGGATTTGAATTCCCAGCATCCATGGAAAAGCTGGCCCCAGTGATAAGTATGTTTTTGGAGGGTATAAGCATGAAATAACTTAGTCTGAAGTGTTAATGTTTGCAAATGAATATAAAATGTAGGGGGAAACATTGAGGCTTTGGAAACTCTTGCTTCACATTGAAAAAAATTTTTAATATAATTTTTTATTGAAAAAAAATTTTTTTCCGCCTCCTCCCCGCCTCCCATTTCCCTCCCCGTCTCCCTTTCCCCCCCTCCTCCCTCTCCTCTCCCCCTCCCCCCACTCCTCTCCCCCTCCCTCTCCAGTCTGAGGGGCAGTCAGGGTTCCCTGCCCTGTGGAAAGTCCAAAGTCCTCCCCGCTCCATCCTGGTCTAGGAAGGTGGACATCCAAACTGGCTAGGCTCCCACAAAGCCAGAACATGAAGTAGGATCAAAACCCAGTGCCATTGTCCTTGGCTTCTCAGCAGCCCTCATTGTCCGCCATATTCAGAGAGTCCGGTTTTATCCCATGCTTTTTCAGTCGCAGTTCCAGCTGGCCTTGGTGAGCTCACAATAGATCAGCCCCACTGTCTCCGTGGGTGGGTGCACCCCTCGTGGTCCTGACTTCTTTGCTCATATTTTCCCTCCTTCTGCTCCTCCTTGGGACATTGGGAGCTCAGTCCGGTGCTCCAGTGTGGGTCTCTGAGTCTATCTCCATCCATCTCCAGATGAAGGTTCTATGGTGATATGCAAGATATTCATCAGTATGGCTATAGGATAGGGTCATTTCAGGTTCTCTGTCCTCAGCTGCCCCAGGAACTACTACTCAGCGGTAAAAAACAATGACTTCTCGAATTTTGCATGCAAATGGATGGAAATAGAAAACACTATCCTGAGTGAGGTAACCCAGACCCAAAAAGATGAACATGGGATGTACTCACTCATAATTGGTTTCTAGAGATAAATAAAGGTCAGTGAGTCTATAATTTGATCTCCTAAAGAAGCTAAATAAGAAGGTGATACCAAAGAAAAACATATAGCTATCCTCCTGATTATGGGACGTAGACAAGATTGCCGGCCAAAAAATGGGATCTTGGGGGTGGGGTGGGAGGGAGGTAAGGGGAGATGGGGAGAGAAAAGTGAGAAGGGGAGGTTGGGGGGAACTTGGGAAACGGGATGTTTGGGATAAAGGAAGGTTGGATAGGGGAGCAGGGAAGCACACATCTTAATTAAGGGAGCCATCTTAGGGTTGGCAAGAGATTTGGTGCTCCCAGGTGCACATTGAAAATTTTTGACTGGCATGGTCTTGTGTATGTCTTGTTCAGGAACCACAGCTTCTGTGAGTACAAGAGTAAAAACCCCACATTAGTTCCAAACTACATATTACATCACCTCTCCCTCTGCCTCATGCATTCCTTCTGTCTCCTCTACCATGATGTACCCTGAGCCTTGGTACAGAGAAGTGTAATTCAGATGTCTCATCGACGGCTGATCACCCACAATTGCCAAATGTCCCCACTGGGATAAAGGCATGGCAAAGTGAGAAAGCCTGTCTAAGTTGGAATTCTCAAGGCTCCCATTATTACTCCCATCAGTACTGTTCTCTTGTATCACCTGACGAAAGCCGTACTGTATGAAAGAGGTCAATGGTTAACCCACAAGGGAAGTGATGCCTTCACAAGGAGAATTATGGGACCACCGATTGTCAGAATCTGAATAAAATCATGGTAAGGCATATTCTCAGCATTTTCCAGGGATGAATATGTCTGCAGTGGGAAACAGTTACTACAAAGACTCATATCTGGTCAGAGGGCTGACAGTAAGTAATTGTTAAGTTCTCCCTATAAGCATAACAATAATACCACCCGACCCCAAGAGCAAGAGAGCATCACAGAAAAGGGAGTAGAGAAATGATTGTAAGAATTGCAGGACGGAGAGGAGCCCTATGAAACTTGTTCTTCTAAATATGTCCTGATTGAGTATGATAGTTCAAATAAGAATGACCCCCATAAGTTTACATATTCCAACGTTTAGTTACTAAAGGGTGGAACTACTTGAAAGATTTAGACATATTAAGAGGTATGGTCTTGTTGGAGGAAGTGTGTCAGACTGAACATTTAAATTTGGAGGATTTAAAAACCCAGGCTAAGCCAGAGGTGCTCTCTTGGCTTGAAGGATGTAACTTTTGTTTATTTCTCCAGCACCGTGTCTACCTGCATGTTGCCATGCTTCCTGCCACGTTAATAATGGATAAAGCTTTGAAACCATAAGCAAGCCCCTAATTCAATTCTTTCTATTGTAAAAGTTGCCTTTGTCGTGGTGTCTCTTCACAGCAAGAGAACAGTGACTAAGATACCAGGAAACCACAAACACAGTAACTGTGAATACCTACAACAGACCTACATGGGGAAAAAAAAAACTGATATGAAACTCGGGGGAGGGGATACTTGGCAAAAAGAAGCAGGCCCACAAGAGTGGGAGGAAGATAAGAGAGGGCAGTATCAGTAATGTATTCACAAAATGTTCACGGTAGCTAGAGAGTGCTGGTAAGTGTATCACTGTTTACACTAACAGTGTAAAAAAAAGATAAGCTAGGAAGCAGCATTCAGTTTGTGAGATTAGACAGGCTTTGGGGTATGACGTTACTGTCTCTAAAGGTCATATTTCAAATATAGTAAAATAAGAGACTAGCTAGATATATCTATTGAAGAATGCATAAATGAACAAATGTGGTAATACAAATTAAAGTACTTTTAGAGTCAAAAGAATTTCTCCAGCACACTGCATGCACTATTGTGCAATGATCTATGAAGTCTGTATTTTGTCAAATATTCCAATCATGAATTAAACCATGCAAATTTCTTCCTTGATAATGGTTATTCAGTTGTATTCTCCTTTTACAACAAATCAATAGGTACACAAAAGTATATATAAAACATGTAAGAACAGCAGTCAGAGATGCACTGGCTACCATCATCATCTTACAGATAATAAAATGGAAGTATGGCAATAAAAAAATGCCTAAAGTCACTCAGGATGAGCAGGGACTTTGCACAATGTTTACTGGCCTGGATCATGTGTTTTCTTATAATTTTGTACATACTACTTACCACTCATCTGACATAAAAAGGTGGTAAATGCATGCATGTCTACATGATTTGCCACATTTTTCTATTTGGATGCTCAATAATAATGTATCACTACATACACATTTAGACATGCTACATACCATGTGTATGTCCACATACATGCAGATGTGTATGATCCATAAATGCTAAAATGCAAAGAGAAATTGCTTATCTTCATTTCATTTCCGTC